CCTAGGACGCTTGGCCTATAGTAGATAATATAACTAAGTTAGATCTAATAATAATAATTTAGATAAGATCATAAGAATCTGTATAAAAAAACACCTGCTGGGAAATGATTCATCAGAGATCTAGTAGACCTAGTCCGCCTAGCTTGTTAGTAAAGTTGCGTTGTAAACACTCGTACTTCTAAGTTGTAACGTTATTATTAGGCCTATACATATGATAGTTAACAACCGGTTCGTGTAGGTTTTTCGTGTAGGTCTTTAAATTCTAAGAACAGGTTCGCACGAACCGGCTGAATCCCACCACTGCTTATATCATACATCCTTGAGGAGCTTGAGAGACTAAATCAACGTGTATAGTGAGGGTTATCGCGTCTGTATGAATTCAGCTAAACTCTGTTGATTAATTTTTTTTAGAAATAATGTTTAATGATACAAGATTTAAAATCCCTCTTACCTCATTGATATAAAAGAAATCTTAAGAATAATTGAATTATATTTGTGATTTAAAGTCAATATTTCAGAGTAAAAAGTTTTCGTATTCAACCAATCTAAAACCATTTCAGGTGTTAAATTATTTCTGTTGTTGATACCTAATAAAATTAGTGTTTAGAACAGGTTTTATAGTTTATTCGTTTTTAAACATAAGTAATAGTTTAAAGGAGAACGAACATTCATTTTCATAGATACAGTAACAAAATTCCCGAAGTGAAAAGGAAAATCAACCTTTCTCTCTGTTTATTGACATACTTAAGAACTTATTAAAAAGAAGATCCTATATGCAAAAAAAACAAACTATTTTTTATGATTAACTGAAGATATATCCTAAAGGTGCTTTGTGGGCTTTACGGCATAACTAGGTTTTATTCGTCCGGGCCCCCGGGCATTTGTCCCCTTTGCTACCCCCTGTCGGCGGGCCTGAATATGAATATGTACATGTGGGGTATCACAATTAGAATTATGGATACAATTTTGATATGAATGTTATGAAAGAAAAATATCTTAGTGTTTCAGTTCGTCAACCTCTCAAGCCACCGAAGCAATGTATTGTTGCTAATGGTAGGGCAAATAGGATTTTATATTGTATCTACAGAAATATTGAATACAAGTCTAAAGACGTTATAATCATTGTATAAATCATTGGTTAGGCTACATTTCAAGTACTGTGTTTAGTCTTGGACTTCTTACCTTATAAAGGATACTGAATTTTTCGAAATGGTCCAGAGGAAGGCTGCTAGGTGGATATATGGGATGAGGGGGTTGTTATACAAGAGTAAGTTAAGATTTCTGAAATAGTTTTATCTTGAAAAAATAAGAGTTAGGGTGGATCTTACTGAGGTGTTTAAGTTTGTTAAGTGAATTCATAGTGTTGATACATCATATTTTTTTATATTAATGGTGGTAATGGTAAGACTATGAGACAAAACTTTTGGCAGGGTAGGAGTAATCTTTAGCTAACACAGCTTTAATTTTCTAACAGGGTGGTTAGCCTTTGGAACAAGTTGCCTTCAGATGTGTTTAGATGCAGTTAATTTAATGGAGTTTGAGGGAAGCTTGATAAATATTTAAATGATAAAGGGTGCTTTGAACTTTTTAGTGTTTAGTTTAATTTAGTGTGTAGGACGGCTAAGGTGGACCAAAGGGACGCTTGTTGTCCTTTAATGTTACGTTACGTTAGATTTGAATCCGCCCATAAGTCTATTCCGGTTTGTAGCTGATCGAGTTTTGTATTCAATTAACTCGAAGGCTTGACTTTTGATTCTGTGATAACTTAACTGCCAATAAAAAATGAACAACGAAAATACTTTATTAATTACTGATTATAATTTTGACCCAGAATATTGCAAAGAAGAAATAAACGTCATGCATTTAAATGAAGAGTAGATTGAAAGTGAAGCCGTGGAGTTGATCGAGTAGTGTGTGTGTGGACACTGCTCCCAGATGGGGAATGTTGAGGAAAATGTGTGCAGCACAAGATCTGATTTACCAATATCCAACTTGGGACTGC